GCTTTCCTCGACATCCCAAACACACGGACATGGAAAACTTTCATTGTGTGCAATCCCAGTGGCACAGGGAGAGGGTAAGATTTACCCACGATCTGACAGCACTGCATTACATTTAATTGATCGGTAATGTAGTAATCCACTATTATCTGTTTTTTATTCGTTCACTTTGAATCTACCTACGAATTAATAATCGATAACAGTTGTCAAATTAATATCGATATTTTATTTGTTTACGATCATCATGTTGGCCAACTATTAAATAAAAATGATTATATTTATTATTGTAAATAATAATAATTATTTGACATATTATTGACAATATATTTATTCAAAGGTTAATGTCATTCATGTATTTGCATACATGTTCTTTTTTTTTTTAAATAATGACAGGTGAAAGGTTATTAAAAATTGCATTATTAAATTTTAATTGTGCAAGACGCAATTACAACGTTAATTACTACACAAGTCAAATATCAAATAAGACTGGTTGTATTCACAGAAATGTAATTTACAGAACTTGCTAGACATTCTATTGAATAATCTTTATTTAATTCAACTATTATATAATAATATTTAGAGATTAACATAGATTAACAATCAATTTTACAATATTATGGAAATCTATCATGGGAAAACATAAATCTCAAATAATGTGTTGTATCATTTCTTCTTTTGATTTTTACAATTTTCATTCAGTTTACTTTTATTACGTGATTTTCAATTATACATTTTCTTTTTTCAGAATTGTTTTCACAAAAATCACGGAGTACGATGAAATAAAATGAAATATAATTTGTGATAATATAAATGCATGAAGTAATAATCTGAATGTTTAATTATATGAATTAAATAAAAATTTGGAAGGACACCATTGATAGAAACAAATAATTAACAAGTCTTCTGTTTATTTCTAAGACGCAACTATTCTATTTATAAATTTGTGATAAAATATAGATACAAAAAAACAATGTTATCATGCATTAGTAAAAAGAAAAAAATGAATGACAAAAAAGAAAAAAAAAAGGAACGAATGATGATCAATTAGTATTTTACTTTTTGGAATATATAAATGTTAAGTATGTTTATAGTGGTAAAAGAAATAATCATACGATTATGTAATTATTTGATTATTCATTCCTAACAGTTTGTTGTTTAGCAATCAAATCGGCATTTCAAAATTTGATGAATATTACTTCTTTATAGATATCATTTTGATGGGAATTTTTAATGAAACATTTAATAAAATGTTATATTCATTTATGCTAACACAAACGGAAATATTATTCGAAAAAGAGAAAGAAGAGACAAATAATTGTATAGAGAGCTGGAGAAAACAGTGTCTCTCAACATTTTTCTAATCGAGTTTAATTCATCATCATACATTCTCTTACAAATGCGGAAGAAACAAATGCAAATTAATATTACAAAATAAAAAAAAAACATTCATCAAGCAATAAATCTTTTCATGTATAGGAATTCGTATTTGGCAATATGATATCAATGAAAAAAAAAAAAGAAAATCAAACAAACAAGATATTTCATTAAAATGATTTGACACATTACCATTATTTATCGGTGTCTACGAATGAAATGTGATTTTTATTCCTTTGACATATTTTATTTTATTTTATTTTATTTTATTTTATTTTATCAAATAAACTGAGATATTTTTAAAAAGTCGAAATTAACCGAAACGATTTTTATGTTGTTAAATTTACGCAATATGTATATTCTTTTATATATTTTTCTTTTACAACTAACTATTACAATTCATGAAATAAACGAGTCCTTGTACAAAAAAAAAAGATAAAAATAATGTATATATAGACTTTGAACCTAAGATATTAAACACTTGGGACCATGGACTTTGTATTTAACGCATAAGTATAATAAAATATTCATTTAAAAGATTAATTGCCAGAGTAAAATTTCTATGCAAAGTATTTCTTTATTGATCATTAAAAAAACATCATATTAAAAAACAATGAAAATCAATAGTATCATTAAATATGCTCAATTATTTTCAAATTAAACGTTTAATTCGGTGGCACATATTTTTAGGCACTCACTATATCTATGTATATGTGTCTGGAATTTGTGATTTCAATTTCACAAAATGTTACGAATTATAACAGGAGCACATGATCATAAAGGAGGTATTTGAATTCAATCTAATATAGTACTTTATTTTTTCAATAGATGACGCCAGGGGTAATATTCTATTGTTAATTTTTTGTTAGTTTCAAAATTTTTCATTAGATGACGCCAGGGGTATAATTCTAATATTAAGCAGATGACGAAAAATGCTCGATATGTAACAGGATCACATGATGATAAAGGAGGTATTCGAATTCGATCTAATATAGTACTTAATTTTTTCAATAGATGGCGCCAGGGGTAATATTCTATTGATAATTTTTCTTAGTTTCAAACTTTTTCGTTAGATGGCGCCAGGGGTAATATTCTATTGATAATTTTTCTTAGTTCCAAACTTTTTTGTTAGATGACGCCAGGGGTATAATTCTAGTATTAAGAAGATGAAAAATGCTCGAAATGTAACAGGAGCACATGATGATATGGGAGGTATTTAAATTTACTCGATAATAGTACTTTACATTAACGCTAGACAACACCAGCTTTGTACTGTTTTTTGCTGATTAGTTCTTTAGTTTTTTTTGCTAGATGGCGCCAGGGCAATAATTCTAAAATTGACAGATGTCGACAAGTGCATGAAATATAACAGGAACACATGATGATATAGGAGGTATTCGTTTTATCTCAAATATTGTATTTTAAATTGTCGCTAGATGGCGCCAGATTTGTACTGTTCCCTGCTAATTAGTTCCTCTGCTTTTTGATAGATGGCGCCAGCATGTACTTTTTCCAACATATTAGTTCCTCTGCATTTTGATAGATGGCGCCAGCATGTACTTTTTCCAACATATTAGTTCCGCTGTTTTTTGTTAGATGGCGTTAATATTACATTGAAAATTTAATTTAATATAAATAAAAAAAATACTTATATATATTTTAATATAATTATTTTATTATTCTTGGCATGGTATACATTTTTTTTAAATAATTTTATATATTTACAATTTATTGCTTATTATTCTTTGTTTTTATTAATCATTCTGGTACATCATTTTCATCTTCTTCTTCTTCTTCTTCTTCTTCTTCTATCCACGATCTATAATTATTTAAAATTAATATATTTAAACTTTATATTTTTACATTGCAATATTAATATAACAATTAATAATAATACAATTTACTTCTTTTCAAATGGTATATCATAGTGTAAAGTTTGTATCAATTTAATATCAGCCACTAAGATATCCACAGACTAAGAAATGAAATGAAAATATAATTGATTATATGTATTTACAGATTAAATGGATAAATAACTTACATTAGTACAAACACGTCTTTTCCTTTTACTTTCCATGGTACATAATTCATGGCTATTTAATATAGCAGCTTTAGGTATATCTTCAATAAATAATCTACATGAAAATGTGCAAAAAAAAAAATGTAATTAATAGCTTTTGTTTTCTTAATAAATACATGTCATTTTAATATAAATGTAATTTTTGTAGATACTCACTGAAGAAAACCATATACTTGATTGTGCATCAAACTTATGGATGGAATTGTAATTATTATAGTAAAATGCATGACAGTGGATGCTTGAATAATACCACTTTCAGGTATTATATAAAAGTAATTTGTTAAATCTTCATTTTCAAATTCATTATCTTCATTAACTTGTACACAACGTTTATCCCAATGGAAGAACATATACATTTGACTGTACAAAGAATATAAAATGTAAGAATTGATTTAATACCAATACTACAATGATTCAACAAGATCATTTGAAATATTGAAAATATATTTTACCTTGTATTAGTTACAGTTATTTTCTTGTTTATAACATCAAACTCACTGTAAATTTCACATTGTATATTTAAATGATAATGAGCAACTGCTTCTTGGACATCGTCAATCTTTGTCAAAATTAAATGTGTCTCTTTTGATTGCTGAATAAATATAATTTGTTATTATAAAAAAGGTAATATTGATAAAAATCTATTTTAAAAATATACATACACTGTTAATTTGTAAAATCTGTGGCTCATAGATAATACCATCACCAATTAGTTCAATAGATTTAATAGAATAATTTTCACTAATAATGTATAATGTTTCAACCTGAAAATGTTCATCATATTATTAAAGATTCTTTTTTTTTTTTTAGATATACACTTTAACAAATCTTACATGAACTCCGTAAGAATCAGGAAAGAAATATATATGAACGAATACATCCTCTTGAGTCTTCAAAATAAAATATGATGGCCATACAGCGAAATATTGTAAAGTTAGTATATTCATATCAGTGATATCCTGTAAAAAGATATGATTATTGATTATTTGTCAATCATAATAATTATTAGAATATGTACAAATTCAAACTTACTTTTATAAACATAGTATACCAATCGATTTCACTTATTATAATAAATTTTCCATCTGTTCCAGTATTTTTAAATCTAATTTGAAATGCAACCTGTTCACCAACGAAACATTTTCCACAATCAAAAATCATATTGGAATTACTAATATTTGTTAAGGATCTTTCACTGTAATAATAATATTGATCAGATTCATCGATAATACTAGAATACTGAAAAAGACAAAATATGATTTTATATATTAAGAATTATATCAAATATATGAAATAGAATATTAATAATATTATACTTGAGTTGTATATGATTCCCATGTATCACTGGATATTTTCAAGCTCTCAGTTGAAGACAAAGATTGTATTTTTGATTCTTCATATTGCAAATGTGGTATAATTATTTCTAAAAGTACATAAATTCATTAGACAACGTTTTAACAATACAATGTATGATTTATTATTATATATATATATAAAAAGAAAAAAACATGATTATACTTTTCAATATTGGAGGATTTCTGGTGCATTGTAATTTAATATCAACATGTCTTCCATGTTGAACGTATACATTAATCATTTCTTCTTTTTCACAGTAATCTTCGGTATAAAAATAAATAATTAATTTAATTTGCATTCCTGGAGCAATAAAATTACTCGTTAATTTTTGATTTTGTACTTCAACACGAAATTTAGAGTGTTGAGTTGTGGGCTTTATTTGAAATCTTGTTAAATAATTACTCTTGTTTGTTAATATTACTTTTTTCTAGAAGAAAAAGTAACATTGATTTTATCATTACAGTCAGATGAAAATAATGTAATATTATATATATACGTACTTTGTATAAAAAATATCTTTGAAAATTATGAAAACAAACGTGATCAGGTTTTGCTATTAAAATAGTTTTATACGATTCTGCTTTGTATGTACTTTTTCTAATTTCTTTAAATATAGTGCAATTCATATCACTTCGTTTTCTATAATAATAATAATTTATACATTAATATACCAATTTATGCAATGAAGTTGTAAAATAATATACCTTCTTACAAATGATTCCTCTGTCAAATTATTTTGAAACCTTATTGTCGAAGGAATAAATTTCATGAATTCAGAATATATTTTATCAACATCATTTAATTTATATTCTATCAATTTGATTTTGAATTTATCATTGTCAATCTTGTTCTCATCAAATTTATCCTATAAAATTAGATGTTAAGATTTATTCAAATGTAATTTATTAAATATATAAATATATAATAACTAACAATCCATAATTCTGATGATATTCGATATAAAATGTAATTAGAATGATTTTTGGGACATTCGTATAACATTTCCCAAGACATTTTATTTTAAGTGCAATGATAAATGATATTAAATTTATTCTATTGCTTTTTTCTCTATTTAAAAGATAAAATATTATTAATAATAATAATAATAATAATAATAATAATAATAATAATAATAATAATAATAATAATAATAATAATAATGGAACAAATATCCAAGAGCATTATAAAATGTATGACATTTAAAAAAAAAGAAGAAAAAAAACAATTAACAAATGATCATCTGACAAATTCTTAGAAATAAATATACATTTTTTTTTTTTTCATCGTTATTAGTATATTTTATTTTATTATATAAATATATTATAGCTTGTTAGTGTATATATATATTATAATAAATAAACAAATATATATATATATATATATATATGTATATATATATTTGTCCTTCTATTTATCCTATATACATATACAGGAAAATAAAAGTATTAAACATGTGCATAACAAATTGGTTGTTAGTATTGTTTATTTGAAAACAATCTTCATATAAAGGATCAGAAATGAGAGTGTATTTACAAATGTGTTGTTTTATGTCAGTAAAATCCTAGGATTTTATATTTTTTATAAATCTAATTTTGAATCGAATAAAATATAATATATATATTTTCTTTTCTTTTTTTCTTTTTTTTTCTTTCTTTCTTTCTTTCTTTTGTGTAACGAAAATTAAACGTTATCTTGTTATATCGTTATAAATAAAAAGATACGCCTACGTGTTACACTTGAATCTAGTTTAACGCTGTGAATGATCGATAACACATCATTAAAATTTCGACGTTAATGTATTTTTCTTTTTCTTCTTTTTTTTTTTTTCCTTTTCTTTTCTTTTCTTTACTTTACTTTGTTATTATCAGTATTCATACAAAGCTACGATGATTACCGATACAAATATATATAATTACTATATATCATTTTTCACAAAAATCATGGTGCCAATTTTGTTTGCACTATTATATTATTATTATTATTATTATTATTATTATTATTCATTTACAAAGTAAGATTCTTTTCTCTTTTTTTCTTTTTTTTTTCTAATTTTCCATCTGTAAATAATAATACGCATACCACATATATATTACTTTGACAAAAAAAAAAAAAAAAGAAAAAGAAAGACAAAAAAAAACATGGTAATAATATACACAATACGTATGCGTATATATATATGTATATAATTGTATTGAAAAAAATCTATTCAAAATTTTCATGATTCCTTAATACATAACTACAATTGCGTTTTTTTTTTTATGCGTCAAATACACATTTGTATTATTACTAAAGTACTTCGTAATTATATCTCTACCTAAGTGTTACATTATATTAATAACATATGTATAAGCAAATAATGTACTACATAATTCAAAAAAAAGGAATAGGCTTAATAATAAGACTTTTTTAAAGTTCCATTAAACAACCTTGTATTTTGAAAGAACTTATGTGTTGCTTAAGAGAGTGCAATTATTTATGTTATAAATAAGCATACATAGTCCATGAAGCACAAGAAATGTATACGATAAGAAATAATATTATATTTGACGATGATGATGATACATATTATATATATCATCATAGATAAATATATATATCTATTTATATTTATGTGTTGAGATATAATGTGTAATATAATATTATATAGTATATTATAATGTATCTCTATATAGCTTAAATAATATATACAGGTTTGTAAAAAAAAAAAAAAAAGAGAATCCAATATTTTAAGGGCTTATACTACTTGTTAAGAAAAGTAAATAGAAGTCTTGATAAGTACTATAAGCTTTTAAAATATCGGATCCTTTTTTTTTTTTTTACTATCCTGTATATTTATAGATATATATATTTAAAAACGAAAAGAAAAAAGAAAAAATCATTTCATGAACTATGTTTATGCTTAATAGAAACAATTAGTCAAACTAGGTTCAAGGTTCAAGCATAATTGACAAAATAGATAGACTTTTTCAGTACATAAAAAGAATTATGAGCACCAATGTAATTGGAGTAGTATACATGGAATTATGCTCTTTTATACGATATTGCAAATGTATACATTTGGACTTTGTATGCAAAGAGACAGAGACAGAGACAGAGTAAGAGGAGACAGATAATATTTTGACTAAAGCTTTGTTTGGAAAATATAAAACCCCAGATTATTCCTTACTATCTATCCTACAAGTACAACTTATTTCAAAAGCTGTATACTGCTGATGATATTGAAGTTCTGATGTTACTATCTTTGTATTGTTATTACTATTTGTATTAATGAAAATGAATCATACGAATTAAAATTTCAAAGGATTGTTCGAAGAGAATTAAATTTTGAAAATATTCTAAGTTAAACATAAAGAGTCTAAATAAACTTCAATATGCGGTGGAATTGAATTTTTTTTTTTTTACAATTTTACCAGCACCATGTTTGTTTAGCTGGAAAAAAATTAATGTTTTGTTGAATGTAATTGTACGAATTAATCGTTCTTACATATATACAATCCATGGTCACTCTTAAATATAGAAGATTCATGTAAATATTTAATTCGACACAGGGGTTTGTCATTTTTCTCTTCACACATGTTTAAATGATACAAATCTTCATTTGTCGAGTTCAAGTGCAGCATATTGTTCTTCATCTACTTCAGTCATCATTAAATTTCCATCTGGCAGAAGTAGCACTACTCTTCTCGTTCCACCTATAACAATGAAAATATATTAACGATATAATTACGTGAATATAAAATGAATCATTGTTAAGGAAGAATCAAAAAATATTTAATAGTACCTGGCGTAGGCTCCTCTGCTTGTACAACTTGAGCCACAACTTGTGCTTGTCCATCACTATCCTCTTGACATCCAGTAACATCAGTTGCATTTGTGTTATCCATTATGGACATTACCATTGGGTTTTCAGTAGGCTCTGCATCACCTTCTTTTACATAGAATTGTGATGTAAGATTAACTTGGTCAGGTATTAATTGTGCGACTGCTTCAGCAACTGCATTATCCAGCGTTAAAACTCCTCCTCCCTCACCTTGTGGTTCCGTTGTAACATATACACATTGCTGTTCACCATCCGCTCCTCGCGTTACTAATAAAGTTTGTCCATCGTCAGCTTCTCCAGTGACTTGATATAAAACACCATCTTCACCTGCTATCGTTACTACATTCGATGGGTCTTCGGTTACTTTTCTTTCCTCAGCTATTTTCTCATCTGATTTATTTACTACATCAGTAGATGTAACTGTGGTAGATGTTACTGCAGTAGCTGTTGTTGCTCCCGTCGTGATGGTAGGCTCACTTACAGATGTTTCTGTTAAAGATGTTGATACGGTTGTGGTTGGTGGTGTTACTGTTACTGTATTTGTCGTTGAATCATCTAAGCAAGGAAGATCTGGAGCAGTTACAGCTTCATTTGGTAAGTGAATTTGTGCTGGTTCGCTAGTTTGGACTATAGTACCTGTTGTACCACCGGGACTCATTTCTACTCTCATAATACCACCAGCTTCTGTGAGGGAATCAAGAGAAGGTAATACTAATTCAGCAGTAGTAGTTGTTGCAATAGTGTCTGTGTTTTCAGCCGAAGTTGTAGCTGTTTTAACATTTGGTAATGTTGTTGAAGGAGTTGGTTCAGGTTCATGTTCATTGGACTGTTCGATTGGCTCGCCATCAGGCCCAATTATACGTCCAGTTAAAGGACACAAAGTAAATGGTCTCGGTGGACTATCAGGTTCAGTAGCTGTAATTGTTTCGGCCTCGGGTGGAGGAAGTTCTGGTTCTCCTTCGCTACTGCTTTCCTCTGAGCCAACTTCATGAAATTCCATATGAAGTCCATCTCCCTCTGCTAATTTACTTTCTTTAGGTTTGTTTCCAGGAGAAATAACTGTTGATGATTCAACAGGTTTTGCTTTGCCACGTCCAATAGATGCACGATTGCTAGCCAATATGCCACGTCCACCTGGCTTGATCAAACCTGCTGCCTCCTGAGCTTTTCTCTTTGCCATTAATAATTTCTGTTGTGGCGATATCAGAGACTGCGGTTTACTCAATGCTGATTTAGGTGATTGCTTATTTTGTGCGGGACTACTAGATTTCATAACTTGCTTTCCTTGTGAACTGAGTACCGTGAATTTTGGTTTAATAGGAGGAGTCACCGATGTAGTACTAGGTGAACTAGCTGGAGTATTTACAACTGTTGTACGTTTGTGCAAAACTTGTCGTGTTTGTTGACCCTGTAATTGTCTAGGAGCTGGTGCTTTAACAGGAGTACGAATAGGTGATCCAATACCAAGAACACTAGTTGGAGTAGTTGCACGTAGTGCTGGTCTAGGTAACAGTGGACGACCATCAGCAGCACGTGATACTGTAACAGGATTAGGACGTATACCCGTACTAAGTCTTGGTTGTAACGTTATAGGAGCTGGTACTGCAGTTACCACATGTATTTGTTGTAATTGTGATGGGTCTGGTTTAGGTTGTATTTTGATAGGTTCTGATTTTTGTATACCTCCTGCTTTAGATCCAACAGGCTTAGAAACTACCTTCATTTGTGTTACCATCGGACTTCCATCCATTTTCGATACTACTTTAACGGGAGTGATAGAGTTGGATTGACTCGCTGAAATAACTTGTTTTCTTACATTACTGTTATCCCGATTTTGTACCATTAGAACACCTTGCGCTGTAGATGAACCTTTGACAGCGAGTTTTCCACTCGGAGATGAATCTAACTTTATAATTCCATCTTTTCGTGACATAACATAGACACCAGATGTTAGATTTGGCATTTGTTTAGGATCCACCTTAACAACGCCTTTAGCATTTGCGACTAATACTGGAGATTGATTTGATTTAGTTCCATCTGGTGACTGAAGACCCAATGAAGTTGCAAGATCAGTAGTAGAAACAGTTCTGTTAGAACCATTAGATTGCACGTTTGCACGATTAAATGCACGTTGTATTACATCACTACGTCCCATCATCTTATCTTCTTCTGATTCTCCACTCCACTCTTCATCGCTACCAGTATCACCCTTTGCCCTCTTAGCAGCACTACTACCAGCTTCTTCTGAATCGCTATCAGAATAGTCTATCCTTCTCTTTCCTAGTACTGAAATTTAGAAAAATATTTTATAAATATTATTACTACAACTATAATATAATAAAGGAATATATAACGAATATATACAAAACGTACGATCACTCTCTTCATCTTTCATCGAACCACACCACTGCTTCACTTGATCCATTGCTTTAGATTTACTCGAACGCATAGGACGTCTAAATATTATTAAAAAAAAAGTCAAATATTGTATATAAATAATAATGTAATATATATAGCAATAGTATACATTTATTAACATACCCTGCTTGAACCACATTGCTTGGGCCAGGCTTGCTGGCATCTGCTGATTTGATAACAGCTTTTTGTGCCGCTACTTTTCCTGATAATTTATTACTGGCTTGCTGTTGTTGTGCTGCTTTCATTTCTTTTTGTTTAGCTAAATTCCTTTCAAATTCATCTAATAAGTGCTTGCAATTTGGAACATTTTCTAATGCTTCCCATGAATTGCTATCGCTATAAATACATGTAACTTTTTTATTAAAAAAGAAATATCAACAATTTTGATATTAGAAAATAGAAAACGAACTGACTGTATATAACCTTCCCATTTGAGTAAGTATTCCGGGCATCTCTTTTTTGGATTGAAACGTTTGGCTAAAATTTTTTCTATATAGTATTCCTCAGTACTCGAATCTCTATCTTCTTCTCCTGCTGCTTTTGGTATTTTATGCTATGTGAAAAAAAAAAAATAATAATAATAATAAAAATACATAATACTTAAATGTAAATTAATATCCATATAAGTTAATATACTGTATTCATACCGCTGGCTTCGGTTTAAAAGTCGGTTTCATTTTTGGTTTATCTTTCTTATCGATTTCACCCTCCGTAGATTCCAAGCCTTTTTGTAATTTAGCTTCGGAAGATTTAATATCTTTCTTAGAATCAGATGCATCCTCTGGTTGTCCATTTCTAATGACTTTACGTACTACTATTTGTTTCGTTCCTATAGAAAAAAAAGATAACTTTATTTAATTTGTTACATAATAAAAAAAAAGTATATTCAGCAAGAAATACCTTCAGCATTAGAATTAGTTTGCCTTGGAACTTCCTGCATCTTTGCATTACTTATTTTAGTAAACGTTTGTATAGTTTTTCCTGCAGTTATCCACGTATCTCTAATGTGTGTATCCATTTTACACCATTTTTGATAAAGCTTCCATGAATTAGTAGTGTCTCTATCAGAGTTCTCGTGTTGAATTTGTGTATCTTTCCACAAAAGGAAGGCCCAAACTTGTGCTTTTTGTTCATTCTTCGGATATTAGAAAGATATTATTAAATTTATTATTTCTTTCTCTAAACTAACTTATAAAAATGATTTACATTATATTTATTTGTTGAGATACTAACATTAGTATTGTCACGAAAATGTGATACGTGTGAACAAGAGCCTTCTTTAGTACGATGTTCTTGAAATTCTTCGATAAAGTGGAAAGCTGAATGGCACTGACCACATACCAAAATATCTAATCGTCCCATTTCTTCTTGTGCAGCTAATAATAAAAATGATATTTCAATTTACATTCGCTAAGCATTGATATAATAAATGAACTTGTTGTAAGTATTAGATTTATTCTCTCAATGAATTAATTTATGAAAAGTTATAAACAGATTACCTTTTATAGTAGCTGGATTAGTATTGACAGCCGAGGGGCCATCGTCTGCTTCCATCTTGTTAAAAATTATGTTTGCTTAGCGTAGTCAGAAAATACAGTTTGCTGCAAATATAAAAATTGATATATTTAATCATTTATGCTAATAATATTAGAAATATAAACCTATATATGTTCTGCAATGTAAATAACAAAACACAATGAATACTAATTTGATAAAACTATGAAATATTATCTTGGTATAAAAGAATTTATTAAGAAAACTAAAAAAGAGGATTACTATATACATAACAAAAATATAAACAATATAAATTATAATTATATACCAAAAATATAAATCAGGTTAAAAAATATTTTGTAGTAAATTTTATCCTTTTAAATCATCATTTCACACACATATATATTATATATATATATTTTTTTTTCTTTCTACAAACAATAACAACAAATTCAATAAATTAAATTAAATTAAATAAAAATGAAAATACAAAAAAATGGTATTTTTAATTTGAATATTCGCGGGTTAATAAAAAATAATAAACATTCAAACTGATTCGGTAAATGAAATCGAATATAGAAAATGTAATTCGATTCGATAGACCGCCAGAGAGCCGCTCCTACGTTTCATATGATCGGCTGTTTTATAAATCCTTCCACGTCAGCCAGTTCGAACGACAATCTGATTCGGAAGAAGTGGCTTGGTAAAATATAAAATGTACCGTAAATGCTAATAGATTATGATTTGAAAAAGATACGAATTCCCGCATAAATGAAGAAACTTTAAGATAGACACTGACCCAGGTTATTCATTGTAAACGCGGCCAGTCGCGTGGAGTTACCAACGTATGACTTTCGACGTACTTAATATATATATATATATATATATATATACATAGGGAGAGAGAGAGAGAGACATATTACATATATATACATATTATATATGTATATATATGGATATTCTATTCTATCATTTTTCTCACTCTCTCTTTTTCTTTAAAAAGGATATACACATACGTAACATGCACACATATACAAACAGAACGTACACTTTCTTTCTGTCTTTTTTTCTCTCTCTTTCTTTCTATGTTTCTTTCTCTTTCTTTCTCCCTTCTTCCTTCGTTTTCGTGTTAACGCACGCGGATCACCCGGTTAAATGGCTTTGGCCTTACGCAAAACGACTATTGCGTTAACGTAAATAACTAAAACGCGTCGTGATATCGAAATTGTTTCGAAAAGATGACATTGCTGCCGCCACACGCAACTCCTTTCCTCTTCTTCTTGTCCCTAAGACGAACGAGCTAACGAACAAGCCGATGCTTGCTTCGTCAAGATGGCTCTTCTCGCTTAATGCTCTTCCCTCCGTGCTAGATTCACTTCCTGTTTTCTCGTAAATATTTTTCGAATACACTTTGGACACCTCAAAAATGATTTTTAACGATCATCTCTCGAACCAATGGTGACGACTCACAGCCGATAAATTGTAGAAAAATCCGATTTTCACGATCCAGAAAATACTCCTAAACAGCACGAGACGGAATGAAAACAGTGATCGCGTCTTCTGACAGTGGCGCCATGGTGCCCGCTTACCGCCAGACCCAGCGACGAGTATTATTTTGGCGGGAACCTGATATTACTTTTTCCGACTTTATTAATCATTATATTATACTAATTTATTTATTTTTATCATTAAATATAAAAATTCTTTCATATTTTATAACTAAAATCTATAAGATATTATTAATAATGATAATTAATGGACGATAAAAATAATGCCAATTGAAGGATTTTACCGTTTTTAAATTTACCGCCTTTTACAATTTGACCTGCTGATATTCCGGATAGAGAGAGATAAAGCTATATTAATTAATACTAAGTCGATTCTGATGATATTCATTGGTCGTTTACCTCTAGCGTTTTCACTACTTTGATTTCATTGAATAATAATTATTTATTAATAATTTATATATGTTTTTTATTTATATTACAGTGTTAAAGTCTATTTTGTAGTCAAAAGAAATGGCTGAGGAAGAAGAAGGGAAGGAGTATAGATGGGAGACTGGTTATGAAAAAACTTGGTATGTAGATATTTACATGCATATTTTTATTTCATTTATAATTAATTAAGTTAATCGTCATTAAATAATATTGCACATGTGCAATTTTATTAATTTAATCCTTATCAATTTTGTTATAAAGGGAAGCAATTAAAGAAGATGACGATGGACTTGTTGAAGCATCCGTTGCAGAAATTATACATAATGCGAAAAGAAAAAGGCAATTGGATAGAAAAACCGGTGCCAGATTAGGAATGATGAGACATTTGTATATTATTCTTGATACCTCAGAAGCAATGTCCAATCAAGATTTGAAACCAACACGTTTACTATGTTCCTTGAAGGTATTTCATACTTTATAAACATTAAACCCCTAAGCATCACAATGACAATCAATTTATAAAATAATCATAAGCTTTTAGAGGACTTTGTGGATGAATTTTTTTATCAAAATCCTATAAGTCAAGTTGGTTTAATTATAACTAAGAATAAGAGAGCTGAAAAAATTAGTGATTTGGCTGGAAATTCAAAGAAACATATTAAGGTTTGTATGAATACATATTGTATTATTTCAAGAGAAAACATACACAATGATCTTCATATTGTCTATCATTTTTTTTTTTTTTTAGGAAATAAAAGCTTTGCAGCAAACAGCATTAGCTGGTGAACCATCATTACAAAATTCTTTAGAATTAGCTATAAAATCGCTTAGGCTGTTACCATCTCATGCTAGCAAAGAAATAATAATAATAACTGGTTCTCTTACTACGTGTGATCCTGGAGATATTACCGATACAATACAAGTAAATAAATTTATCTTCTGATCATATATTAGTATATATTTTAAATGGGATAATAATCAATTTGTGATTTCAGTCTATGAAATCGGATGGTATAAGGTGTAGCGTGATAGGTTTAGCTGCTGAATTGTACATTTGTAAAAAAATTGCTATTTTAACTGGTGGAGAACATGGTGTTGTTTTAGATGATAAACATTTTAAAGAACAGTTAAATGCCCATATAGATCCACCACCAGCTGCTACTAGATTAGATGCAGCACTTGTTAAAATGGGTTTTCCACATCATGCGTTGCAATCTTCTGGTACTGACACTTCAATAGCTGTATGCATGTGGTATGTACAATTTGTATAATGTATATCTACGATTATAAAGGATTGAAAAATCATACCTGTATATAATTAATTTACAGTCACGCAGAAAATTCAGATGGATCGGTCAAATTAACAAGTACAGGTTTTCTTTGCCCTCAATGTCTTAGCAAACATTGTGAACTACCAGTCGAATGTAGAGCGTGTGGTCTAACTCTAGTTTCTGCTCCACATTTGGCAAGATCCTATCATTATTTATTTCCAGTTGCACCATTTAAAGAATCAGATTATGAAGACAAATATACAATGTGCTATGGATGCCAAAAAATATTATCTCAGAAAGATAAAAAGGTATTATTAACTAAAATCATTTATGGATAGACATAACAATTTTTCTTATTTTATTATTATTTATAATATATTTATATATATATATATATATATATATATATAATATATGTATAAATATACATATTATTATTTTAGATTTACATTTGTGAAAAATGTACGAGAATATTTTGTATAGACTGTGAAATATTTATTCACGAATCATTGCACACGTGTCCGGGTTGTGCAACGAATCAAACAACATATCAAAAATTTACTGAAAAATAAATTTATATTAAATAATTCGTCTCACATTTGGAAATATTTTATTTTTCCTTGTCAATTTAGATCTATGAACATAAAGTTTACCTGATTAAACTAATATCACACATTCTATCATCATTTTTGTAAGTACTGAATAAATGAAGAAGAATATTTCTTATTATCTAATCAATGATAATCTAACTCTTCTAAAATATCGTATATATATATAGGATGATCCAAATAACATGTTGTGCTGTTTACTCAAAAATTAATGAAGATATCAAATTCATTTTTGACGTTATCAAAAAACCCGTTGAAATAATTTTTAATCAATTCGATGATCACGAAAATATGTTGCACAGCACATTAAATTTAAAATATTAATCGACTTTTGTATAATTTAATAACTGCAACAAATTAGGATTGATATCTTGATTAGTTAGTGAGAAAATAGTATTGTTAAGCTTAATTTGAAACATATATATATATATATATATATATATATATGTATATATATAGGAAATGTTCAAATGTATACAACGTACATAATTTTCGTTTGAACAGAAACGTCCTTCTTCTCAATCACAGTTAGAAGAGGAGGCAATTCAAGTTTATTAGCATCTAGACAGGTGGGAGAAGGAGAGAGTCATAATATTACTGTACTTATTAGTTCACAGTCGTCCTCTGGTGTGACCGGTTCGAGCGGGATCGACCTAGTCTCGCGATTTTATTAAGTGTCAGCTATCTACTACGTACGCGCGATTCTATCTTGATTTAATTTTTTCTACATATGAAATATTGTCTGACCACATTGTATCATTATTTAAAAGGCATCCTCAAAATTAGGTGAGTTAAATATATTTAATATTTATATCATATAACGTTCCCTTCGCGTATAATCGTTCAATAACATTTAATAATAATATCTAAATTTTCAAAGAATATTATTTCTAATTTTGAAAAATATTATTTGTTCTTTCTTTTTTTCTTTTTTTTTTCTGTTAAATATATATTTGCATACATGTGATATATGAATCATTCATTTTTACCTTTGTTAACTGTTTAAAAAGTCTGTCTTACATCTGATAAAAAATGTAAAATATTAAAAAAAAAAATAAAAATAAAAGACACACATATAAGTCATAATTATCGTGACATGTAGAGACATTCATGATCGATGTGATAATGAAACGAAGAGAATTAATTATAATAAATTCAAAATATTAAATGATTATATTTAAAAATTTGGATAATATTTTATACAAAAAAAAAAACAAAAGCAAATTTTATATATAGAAGATCTAGGAGAATAACAACATAAATTTATTTAATTATTTATAAATTATATATATATATATATATATAATTATGAATAGTTAATAAATTAATTGAAAAGTTTAAAATAAATATCAGATATTGAGATATTAAAACTGATATGAATATTAAGATCGGCAGCTTTCTTTTAATGGAGATAAGAATTATCTTCTTATTGTTGATACATTTTATTTCAATTGGCATATCTCTCATATCCATAAAAACTTATATGGATTATTTCAATTGCATCGTTAAAATTGTATTATTACAAATGAACAAAATTCCATTTAATATAAAAAAAAAATAAGATCAAATGAAATAAACGAAACACACGGATATTTAATAACGAATATTAATTATTTTTTTTTTCTTTCTTAAACCACATCTAACTTTTTAATGATATATAAGAAACTTTCGATGGATATATGAAATTAGTTCATTGACGAATACATTGAATGTACATTCTCTTTCGTCGAGGTCACTCCTTTTCCAAACATTACTAGTAAGAATTCTTTTTAAAGAAACAGTATGTTTTTGTGTAAGAGACGCTTCTTTACTATTATAAATTCTTTATTTTTTCCTAGTATCTTGTATCATAAAATATATCATATATACATTATATATATATATATACGTGTTCGTCAAATAAATACAAATTAATTCAGTGAAAGTAGGAGAATAACTTGATGAACCTGTTTGCAAATTTAATCATTCCCATGCTATCATTCTTATTCGAATAGAAAATATTATTTTCTTTTATTTTCCAAAATTTCAATTTCAAATTCTTGCAAAGAAAGCATATTTATAAAATATTCTAAAATAAATATTTATACAATATTCTAAAATAATAGCAATGCAAAAGAAAAAATTCAATTGTATTATTTGCCTGGCCAATAAAGTAATGTTAAAATTTTGTAATAACTTATTCTATGTTAAATGCACAAATAATTATTTTTTATCTACATAAATAACACAGATATTTTTTACTTGAAATTCCGACACTATTACCTTTTATCTAATACTTAATATATATATATATATATATTTATCTTTGTTCTTTAATTGCACTGAATAGACTCATAACAATGTTAAAAAAAAAAAAGGAGGAGAAGCAATTACAAGTTTTCCATTTATAGTGCACGAACAATTTCAATCATTGAAAAGAAATATTTCAGTTATTTAAAATTTAAATTTTACATGCATAATTATAAAATGACTAATATAAATATGTTATCTTTAGTAAATAAGGAAAGGGGAATTTTTATTTTTAATTAAGCTTAACACCCACTTACTTTAACTATTATATAACATGCAAATGACTTTTTTTGTTAGACATTATTTCGAATGAATACGTTTCTAAAACGTAATCATATGCGAACCTAATATAACGATCTATTGCGCAAATTTAGTTACGAGCACAGACTGTTAATACCTTGGAAACACTTTGGATTATTTGTATAAGGATAAAAAGGCACATTTTACCTTGAATATTTTTATCAAGGAAATTTTTCAATGAGCATTATTTCATTTATATATATATATATATGTATATATAAACAGGTTTGACTGTATATATAAGTACTACGTCTTTAATCTTGATTAAATAGATTCTCAAAGATTTATAAAAAACTAAAGATATTTAATGATTCAGTTTGATCATTTGATTAAATGAAAATAAAATTGTGAAATTATAAAAAGCAATTTTTATGACTAACAGATAGTCAACCTTGAGAATCCAATTTTATCTAAGGAAAATTCTTAAATTTTAATCACATATAATTATATACGTTATATACGTAATTAGTGTCATCATCAAGATAATTTTTTATTGTATTATTTACTATATTTATAATTATTTAATAACAAGCATGAAAAATATGAATATTTTATAAGGAAGTTTTATGTACACACAGTTTATACAGTTATAAGAAAAGAAGAAAATAGCAATCGTTATGGCGAGTCGTTTGTGGAAAACATTATCACGCAAACGTGTTGACGATGATCAAGAAGGTAAAGGTGAGCTAGCAAGAGTCCTCAATATCTTTGATTTAACTGCCCTTGGAGTTGGAGCTACCCTTGGTTTAGGTGTATATGTTCTTGCCGGAAGTGTTGCTAAAGAAACGGCCGGACCAGCCGTTTGTATTTCTTTTCTTATTGCTGCCATTGCTTCTGCCTTTGCTGGTAATTTTTTTTATATATTATAATAAATCATTTTTAGAATTTTTAATATATAAAACATTAGTGTGTTGTTTATCTAAAACTATTCTAATATATTTATTATATTAAAAATTCTGACAATATTTATCAGTCATTTCTTTTCTTTTTAAGTTGATTTATTTGAAGTATTTTCATTAAAATGTTGCATCCTGTAGGAATGTGTTATGCAGAATTTGCCTCAAGAGTACCGAAAGCAGGATCAGCTTATGTTTACAGTTATGTAACAGTCGGCGAATTTATAGCATTTGTCATAGGATGGAATTTAATATTAGAATATGTTATAGGTATGTCTATAATGTAGATCTTAATTATAATCCTGTACTGTTATTACTGTCTTGCAGGATAATTATTTCTTTTTTTTTGTTTATACAGGAACAGCAAGCGTTGCTCGAGGTCTTAGTAATTATCTCGATGCTTTAGTAGGAAATGTTATGGGGAAAACATTGCATTCAATTATGCCAATAGATATATCTTTTTTATCAGATTATCCTGACTTTCTTGCATTTGGCATGGTCATGTTACTCGTTCTTTTACTTAGTATAGGAGTTAAAGAATCATCTTTTTTAAATAATATATTCACTGTTATCAATATTGTTACGATTATTATCGTAATAGTAGCGGGTGCTATTAAAGGTAAACAAATTGATTATGAGATTAGATTAAATTCTTAGTATCTTATATTAACCTTTTGTTCAATTTTTAGCTGATCCTAAAAATTGGTACATTTCGGTAGAAGATATTCCCAAAAATGTAACTAACGCTGGTAGCGGTGGTTTTATGCCATTTGGAATAAGTGGTGTAATGGCAGGTGCAGCTAAATGTTTTTATGGTTTTGTGGGTTTCGATGCTGTTGCAACGACAGGCGAAGAAGCAAAGAAACCACAACGTGACATACCCTTAGCCATTGTTTTATCCCTCGCTATTATTTTGACTGCATATTTCAGTATTTCTACAGTACTGACCATGATGTGGCCATATTATGATCAGGTATAATGTTTTACACTGACTGCAAACAAAAAACTTATGTGTAAGTTAGGTGATTTATCTGCAATATCATTTGCGAATTTTCTATTCCATTAACATAACATTTATAATAATGTTGAATTAGAATGCAGACGCACCATTCCCTTATGTTTTTCAACAAATTGGATGGCCGGTCATTCAGTGGATCGTCAATATTGGAGCTGTTTTTGCATTATGTACGAGTTTACTAGGTGCTATGTTTCCTTTACCACGTGTATTATATGCTATGGCAAGTGATGGAATCATATTTATGTGGCTTTCTAAAGTTCATTCCAAGACCATGACACCTATTTTGGGTACAGTACTTTCTGGACTACTTGCTGGTTAGTAAATATATTTAATATGATATAATTATATCATATTTTCATATCATTATTCCAATTAACTTTGTATTATTTCAGGAATCATGACTCTTCTTTTTAATCTTCAACAATTAATCGACATGATGTCTATTGGAACACTATTAGCATATACAGTGGTAGCAATATCAGTATTAATACTAAGGTTTGTTAATCCTTTTTTTTTGTGAACCTAAAAAAAAAAGAAAATATTTAATAATATTCAATGAAATATTTGTAGGTATCAGAAAGATGATTTACCTGAAGTAAAAATGAACGATTATAAATTTACAGCATTAAGTATATTCAAGCAAACATTTAATTTAAATAATCATAAAGAACCATCGCATATTTCTAACGTAGTTTCCAAATGTAGCATAGCTAGTTTTAGTAAGTGTAATAACAAACTTCTTTATAAATATGTTAACAATATTTTAACAGATTTTAATTATAATCTTCTTTTAGGTCTCATTGTATTTATACTCATTCTTATATTAAACAACATTGAATTTAATATGACAGAAGACAACGCGATAGTATTCGTAATAGTGATAATACTTATATTTATAGTAATATTAAATGTAGCATCCATTGGTAGACAACCAGTTCAACAAATCAAACTATCTTTCAAGGTATATAATATAATACGTAGCGTATATTTTTATAATTTATTAATGTATTATTTAAATAACATATTTTTTCTTTTTACCACAGGTTCCATTAGTTCCATTAATACCATGCTGTAGCATTTTTATAAATCTTTATTTGATGTTACAACTAGACATGTTTACATGGATTAGATTTATCGTGTGGATGTTTATCGGTAAGTTATTTGAATAAAAAAAATATATGTTATATGTATGTGTATTAAATTTAAGAAAAGTATATATATATATATATATTTATATATGTATTTCTAATATTTATTTATATTTATAGGTTTCCTTATTTATTTGTTTTACGGAATTTCTCACAGTGTTCAAGGAAAAAAAAACAAAATAGAGGATATAATAATGAAACAAAAAAATGTAGATCACAGTAGAATCGTAACGAAATTTTAAATCTACACAATAATATTATATTATATAATAAATATAAATATTCACAGAAACGTAAAATCATAAGATAAGATTTTTAAACAACTCATTTACATAAATTATTTGTAATATTTTCAATTATCGTATTTTATATATAAAATAATTAGGATTATTGTGTGATATATTATTTCTATTGTGGCATTAATTTATATAGACAAAAAAAAATATAAGCGTTTTTCACACAAAAATTGTGATTAAGTGATTTTTTTAAAAGATTCAAAGAATTTATGATATTCATTATATTTTTTTCCTAACAATTTTCCAATTGCAAAATCGGATCTCTCCTTTCATTTTTTAATTCTTTAAAATCTACAGTTCGTAAGAACAATATATAATTATAATATAAGCAAGTACACATTGGCTTTAATACTTAAAAACAATATTTAAATAAGTACTCTGTAATTCTAAATTTGTCATACATCGTTGCATAAAAACAAATCGATTTGTTCATATTTAAATATAAATATGATTATCAATAATATTTATATATATATAAAAGTTTTGGTATATATTATTTTATATATATATATATATATATATATGATTTTAACGTAAATACTTACAATTGAGAAATTAAATTAAAAATATAATACTTCCCTGTACTATGGAATGTAACACGTATGATGAACTTTCATACAGTTTGTCATTTACATTATGTATATATAAGTACATATATATATACATACACATAATGAAAAGATATATTGAAAATGAATTTCATTGTATCTCTTATATTACGAATTATTTTAATAAGCAATTAATTCCTTCTATTAATTAAACCTCCAGCGCTTAAATGCTGCCAATTTGCCTGTCAAGATTTTTATTGATATTATATTGGAATATAGAAAAATCTTGTCTTGTGATATAAGAATTTGTCAAGACTTACCCCAATACCGGTTGCCCAACCCGTTCCAGCTGGATTTTCATTAGTTACACCAATTCTTCGACATATTATACCAGCTCCAGAAACAGCCCAAACTTGTCCATCTTCTTTGGCAACAGAAATATGTCTAAATCCTTGCTTCGAATTTATTACAGAGATATCTATAAATATATGGATTTATTTTATATATATAAATGTTTGCATTGAATCAAAATATTTATACAATATTTATACCTATGTGAATAGGATCATTTGGCATTGCTGGTAACGTTTGCCAATGGCTTCCTTCTGGAAAAACGTCAGCCTGTATATCACGACGAATAGATAATCTACCTGTTGTATCTAAAACCCATACGACATTATTTCCAACGGAGACTTGTTTCAATTGTGCTCCTGATGGTGGTTCAACATTTTGCCATTGTAGACCTAATTTATAAATATGTTATTTTTTCATCATTATTTTTATAAACATAAATTCATGTATTATTATACCTGTAGGTTTAGCTTGTGTAACACCAAATCTCCAATAAGATGAACCATTTATTCCAACTGCCCATACTTGCCCATTTGGTCCACAAGAAATACCAATTAATGGTTGATCACTTGGTATATGTTCCCATGATACACCCTATGTTAAAAGAAATATTATATACCTTTTTTTAAACAATTTATTATTATTTATTTAAATATTCTTACCATTGGACAAGATTCAGATACACCTCGTCTGAATAAAGCTTCGCCATTAGATGCAACTGCCCAAACGTGTATAAGAGAATCTTCACCGGGTTTACCAGATGTCTACAAAGTATCAGAAAAATTAATATAATCATATAATTAATAAGATAAGATTAATATTTTCATTGCATAATTCATACATATAAAGATACGTCGACTAGTTTTGTATTTCCTAGTTCTTGCCAAGGACCACTGGTAGTAAGTTGACATCTTCTAAACCATCTTCTTCTTCGTACGTAATCAGTAAATTGTTTTTTCCCATGATACTGAGATGGAAAATCCGTGGCATATTGCCACCCATCTCTGTCAACACCTCCAGGGGTATGAAAATCAACAATCCAGTCTGATACCTTTGATTCAAATAATTACATTATTATTATTTCTCTTTTTATAGATAAATATAATTATTAATAATTGTTTATTTACCCATTGCCAGTGAACTGATAATAATTTAGTATGTTCTCGAGTACGTTTATGACGACCTGTTACATCACTCCACATATAACGATCCGTTGGAAGACCATGAGAAGTATATCCAGTTACTGGATTCCACCTTTGATTTTCATAGACAAAATAATTGTGTGTATCTACCATTGTATTTATTCCAGTATTGCAACTTCCTAATCCTTTTAAAAAAGTTCCCCCCCAACCATTAGTGTATACCCAGGCAGTATTATCATATCCTATGCCCCATGTGACACCAACCGAACAGGTTTCTACTTTTTTTAGATGTCCACCTATTTGTCTCCAAAATATTGTTATTGGTTCGATTATAATTGACATTGATTTGTATAGAACACTGCATAACGTCATTAATCCTTTAATTCTTAAATGCGTTATATTTTGCGGCGATATTCTGTGACTATAAAATGTATATTCTAAATCGTTGATAAAAATTCTATATCCGCGTTCTTCGCAAACGATATTTAGTATAAAATCTGAGCCTGGTTTTAACGGGCTACCACCGTTTCTTTCCTCATCGCCCCATTGTCCACTCTGATAGGTATTTCTTACTATTACATTTTCTTTAAGTCGTGGATTAAAATGCAGTGCTACATCATGACAATCTGTTATATGTTTTTGTTTCAAAGATGTTGTAGTATAACATACTAGATTAAATGAAAGTCTATCGGCATCATCGTGAACATATACTGATATTTTTAATGAACTGCCATATCCAAAACCATTTTGTAAAATACTTTCAAATGGTAAATCTTTACCAGCTGCATCTAATTCTTGTACATAACCATCTCCAGAAAATTGATTTTCCTCTGCTATAGTAGGATCGTATACATAAACGTCTCCTAATGCAGTGGTAACCCAAATAGAATTAGGACCTGGCTTTCCATAAATATTATTAGTTTGGCAAGAAACAGAAGTCAAATGTGCCAGCCAATCTTCCATATCAGTGTCACTTGCAAATTGTAATGTAAGAATTTTAGTGCGCATTAATTTAGGAGTATGAATCGTAATACGCGGATTACCTGGTTCACTACAGCAAATAACGCAAGTTATCTCAGATATTGGGAATTGCATAAAAATCGTAGCACCATCAGAATTTAAAATTGTTAAAGTACCAGAGTCTAATGCTCCAGTATCGCTACTTATCCATTCTAATTCAATAATACAATCTTCATAGGCATTACTACCTTTTACTTTACATCTAGCATCACCATTTTTAACCCAGGATGACTTTTCTATAGCTTTCTCATATTTCGACAAATCTAAATCTATTCCTTTCAATCTATTTTTTAATTCTTCTAGAATGTATATCCTCCATGGTTCAGCAATTTCTCCGTGCGTTACACCATTGGTATCTGAAATCCATTTAGGAGGATTCGATGGATCCATGTAACATGCACCAGCTTCTACTTTGTACCATAATGCATCACATTCGGCCCAATAAACTATTGCTGCACTTTCATCTTCTCCGTATACACCAGAATCGCCAGTTAAATCAGGATCAAAAATACTCCCATCTGTTTCAGGATGTGCTTCAATACCAACCATAGAGCCAACAGAATGTACAGGACTCCAGGCAGCTGGATTCACTTTAACTGTACTACTCATACCTTTACCAGAGACAACTATAGATTCTCCAGTTTTAGTTAATGATTCGTTTGATATTGTTATGTTTGCAACATTTGTTTCTGTTAAATCACTCATATCTAAAGAGTTTGCTGATCGTTTTTTATCTTCTGTGGCATATATATCTTGGCAAGATGTTTGAGCATTTTTACTAACGTCGTTAGTACGTTGCCATAACTTTAAAGACGTTGGTGTTGGTGCTGATCGTGATTGTTCCTCCCATTCTCTAACCAATGCGGTTCCTTCACTAGTACTATGAGGTCGATTCAAAGAGCTCCAACTTTGATGGCGTTGTTGTTGCGGTGTACCGCACATACTATGTCTATTACTCGAAGATAAACTTGCATTACTACTTGCTCTACTTAATTGAAGAGGAGCATTAATTAATCTCCATTTCTTTCCTGTTAATTCCGATCGTGTTATACCCGTACGATAATAAAGACATCTGTCCTCGTAACCAATAGCCCAAACCTGATCGTTTGGAGCAACAGATACCAATGCCATTTTACTTAACATTTCAACCCATCCAGTTCCTGCTGCTAATTGTTCACAAACGCCACTCATCTCACCCTTAATACCTTTCCTAAACCAGACACTACCATCGTGTGTAACTGCCCATACAGCATCCGTACCTACGCTAACTTGTGTTAATCTTAAATCTTTCTGTGGTGGTTCTACTTCAGTCCAATCATCACCCATTGGATTTTCTCTAGTAATTCCCGTTCGAATGATAGCTTTTCCAGCTAATAGAATTGCCCAAACTAGACCTGTTACTCCTACACTTATTTGACAGACTTCGTGTCCATTATTTAATTTAATGGAACTCCATCTTTGGCCTTCGGGGCAAGTTGTACTTGTTCCTACACGAAACATCACCTATAAAAAAAGATAGACTAATGATATTCCATTAAATGATATTTTTATAATTAGAAATCTAAATGATATACCCTTCCATGAGCTGTTACTGCCCAGACTGCTAAACCACCAGGATTATCACCAGGCATTTGGTTACCTCCAACAGCTACATCAATAAATGGTTCCTAAATATAAAAAAAAAAAACAAATCTACATAAATGTGTTTATAAATTAACGATTGAAAATATATTATAAAAATCATTACTTTAGTTGGATCTTTGTGAAGCGGTGCTATAGCACACCAAGAGTTCATAGCACTGTATCTTCTATATCGGACCCATTTGCGCCTTCTGACACAAGATTTCCATTGTTTTTTTGCTGAATATGTTGCTGGAAAATCAACTGCGTATGTCCAGCCCTACCAAAACATCAGATTCTCTGTGATCATAACACTTTTGTCTTGTTCTGGACGATTGATAAAAAATCTACACGTAAATAAAAATTTATAAGATATAATCGTAATAAAAAAAAATAAAAAAAACGAAAATCAATATTAATGGTAACCGATCCTTTACACAATTAAAATAATAATTAAATTGATGAATGTATATATAATAATGAAAAATATAGATGAACTAATCAGAAGAATAACAAATGAAATATAAAATAAATAAGAAATGTTAATGAGATTGACATTTGAATACCTTTTAACAATATTAGTTATTTATAAATTTGTTATTTGTTAATCTGTATAACATGTAGATATATTTACATCATGATCTAATGGTTGACCATCCAGCGTTGTTTCTATGTGCCAATCACCTTCCCATTGCCAAGCCATAGATGGAAGTTTAACTTTATCTCGACTACGGTCAACAGTACCATCTTGATTAGAAAAATTATATCTATCTGTAGGTAATAATCGTCCACTAAATCCTTCTAATGGAAGCCAGCGCTGTAATTGTTACTTAAAGATGATAAAAGAAAAAAAAACTAAAATCTATATTTGAATAGATATAATGAAACGTTCTTTTACTATATACCTCGTTCTCATAGGTTTCTTCCTTAATTCTAATAGGTATATCTAAGCCATGAACATGAACGTAAACTTGACGATCACCACCAATCGCCCACATAAAATGAGGCACTGCAGAAAGTTGTTTAAATTCAAGTCCCAAGTACATAAATTCACGCCACATAGTCCCAGATGTTGATAAGCCAAATACACGTCCCTCATTATTTATAGCATATAAGTAAGAACTAGGCATTGTAATAGTTGTATTACAGGCAAGAGGATATTTAATTGTAAGATTTTCTGTAATTAAATTTATATGTCATTTATTATTTATTTTATTATCATCAATATGAGAATAATCAAAATTAGTAGAGCATAAGATTACATACCAATTATTTATAGAATATTACGATGAATTATAGTTTTAACTCCATCGTCATTTTTGCTTCTTAAAAATTTCTTTATGTACACAATAACTTTTGAATAATTTCAATATACGACTGTGGTCTTTTATAATTAAAAATATATTTTATCTTTATAGTTGAGAAGTAAAAAACTATACGTTGTGGAAAAAAGGTAATTATCTATCCGATAAATATAGATTATATATTTATATATTTTCTTTTTTGTTAGATTATCTTATTGATAGTGTGTATCTGTTTCTAAGAAAAAAAAAAAAATACATAAGACCTAAGTTAAAGATCAGATTTTTGTGTTAAATAACAGAAAAAGCATTTTATAGTAACAATTATATATAAATATATATATGTTTATATTTATATATATATAATTAAAATGTTACATCAAATTCAGCACAACATGATTACAATCTTATTCACTACACAATTACCTAAAATAAACTTGAAGAAGAAAGTGAAAGTATTATCTATTATCCCTACTTATCTATTTGCGGCCATTAATTCGGCATGGTGGAATTTCATTTTCATGTGACTGACTTTTCCACTATGCACTTAAGTTATTTCCAATACCAATATTGCACAATTGTATATGACGAAAATTATTAATATATTTATTATCAGCGTTTTAATTTTATGCAGTTGGAATCAGCCAATCAGATTTGTCTACAAATGTGCAATTAGCTAATCATATTCATTTGCACAATAAAGCAGCCAATTACAATATTTTTTCTCATATCAACCAATCGTTGCAATTATTGACAAATTTATTAGTACGACTGTTAAAAATTGGTACCACTGTATTAAAAAAAAAAAAAAACCTTTTTAAATTTAAAGTGATTGAAAATTTAACCTTCATTTTATTAAATAAATTATTAAATATATATTTAATGATGGAGGAAATATTAAATCTACAAAATAAATATGCAAGTGTCAATGTAATGCAACTCGAAGAATTTGTTATTAAACGTCAAGAACAAATAAATCAAATTATATATGAAAGAGATCAACATTTAAAAGGTTAATGTTATTTGTTTATAGATTTTCTTTTTGTAAAAGTTACTGTTTCTAATATTCTTGTATAATGTGTTATTCATTATAGAAAATGAAGACAAGGTTAAAGAATTAGAATCAGAATTTATACTTTTGAAAGAATCTATTCATAATGAGCAACAAATTTTAGAACAAAAAAATAAAGAATTATCAAAACATCATTTTCGTTTGGTGAGTAATGATTTATATTCTGTTCTTGTATCTTTTATTCAAGTATAAATATAAATACATATATATATTTGTTTTCAGGCTGAATTAAAATCAGAATACGATAAACTTGCAGAAGAAAGGCAGAATTTAGAGGTTAAGAAAAATCGTATAAAAAATACTAAACCAAATCAGGAAGATCAAAAGTTATTAGAAACAGGAAGGCATGTAGCTATTTATAAATGATTATTTAACAAATCTAATAATTTAAACTTCAATGTAAGCCTTATGTCTTACAGGAAAAAGTTTCATTTGTACAAAAATCTCACTGGAATACATTGGGATTACAGTATTATCAATGACAGCATAGAAGGATGTATCCTTTTTTTTAATTGCTAAATAATTTATTTTATATTATTAAATTGATTTTTCTTAATAACTGCAATCAGATGTTTCTAACAAGATGAATTATATCCATCATTTTAAATTTTCTAAAGATGAAAAAGATCCTGAAGAATTATCCAATCTTTTATGGCATGAAATTTACCTGTCTGTTGAAAATATATTGAATGGAAATCAAAAGAATTCTTCTAAGTGATTTCGTGGTTATAAAATTGTTTCATATTAATAATATGAAGTATAGAAAATATATGTATAATAAAAAGATATTTTTTATTCGAATAATGTAACTTTAATTTTATATTTGTATCCATCAAATATTTGATAACTGATGTTTTTAAAAATGGCGACGTGAAAACAGTGCCTCTATCGGCTACATTCAACATTACATGTTGAATTTTTTTCATGTTGGCATCACTGGTGTAATGCAATGTTTGTGTAGACAAAATAATATACAAAAGTGTGAACATGAATTTATGAATAAACAAATTATTTCTAATATTGTTTATAATTATGTATATAATGATGCAGGATAATTTTATATAATTTTTTGTCTGATTTATAAGTATTGAAAGTATTAACATTGGTGTTTATCTTTTTAAAAAGTATAAAAAGAAAATATTTTAAATAAAAATGGGCAGCGATACACAGATTGCAAATATAGTGAACGATATTTTAGTAAGTATTTTTATATTTTGATAAATAATTGTTTACTATAAATATATATATGATGAAAAGATATATTTCTATTAATAAAATAATTTTGATAAACATATAGAAAGTAGAAGCCATAGAAGAAGCATTCAGTTGTGTACTTGTACATAACCCTAATAATGAAAAAGAGAAACTATCAACATGGCAATCAGAATTAACAAATGCGATGACTGATCTGACTGTGGAACAACAAGAAAATTCAATACGTCAATTTCTTATGATAGCAGCTTCTATGACAAATCATAGACGCTTACAATTATTGTTATCTATGCTTGAGAATTTAGTCTTGTCGAACGTTTTACCAGCTAGGTAATTTATTAATTAAAATATTTATTTCTTTATTTTATTTAAAACCTATACACACAAATCTAATAATGTTACACATTACAGATTAGTATGCGAATACATTCTCAGTTGCGAAAAGTTACAATATCAATTAGAAGATTTTTGGGTAGAATGTTTCCTTCTTATTCGACACATTATCGGAGGAGTTGATTACAAAGGTGTCAGAGAAATAATGAAAGTAAGTACTTAATATTAATGTAAATAAATGTATATATAATTTATTTATATTATGTATTTATATTTATATATAGGGATGCATAGAAAAAGCTCAAACGATACCAGCAAGATTAAACGCATCCATTCAACCGCAATTAAAGGCTTTGGAAAATGTTATAGAATATATTTTTGATAGAAATGCTTGTTTGCTACCAGGATACTTTATTGTTAATGAAATTCAAAAGGCCTATCCTGATCATAAAAATTGGCCGCATTGGGTAAATAAAGAATATTAAAAACTCAAATATTATTAATATAATTTATAAATATTTTTTTTTTATAGAAACTGGCGAAACTTTTATCTAATTTTGTGGAAAGTTTTCGAACGACTGCGCAAATGGTTTCCATCGTAGGACATTCCAAAATGTTACCAGTTGTGGAACACACTGGTTATGCAGATCATTTAATAAATCCTTGGTTACTAGATCCTACTACGTTAAAGTTTACATTGAAAGGAAATCTTCCATATGACCAAGATTTACTTAAACCTCAAACAGAATTATTGAGATATGTTTTAGAACAACCTTATAGTAGAGATATGGTATGCTCCATGCTCGGTCTTCAAAAACAAGTATGTATGCATATGCAGAAAATAATAAACAAGATATGTGGAGTACATATAATAAATATTTATTTACTATTTGTAGCATAAGCAACGGTGTATAGTATTGGAAGAACAATTAGTAGAATTGGTTATTCTAGCTATGGAAAGATCCGAAAATGATCCTTTACCAGCAGAAGGAACGGATGGGACTGTTGCTAACCATTGGGTGTGGTTACACCTTTCATCTCAATTAATTTATTTCGTATTATTTCAATTTGCATCTTTTCCAAGTCTTGTTATGGCAATACATGATAAGGTATAATTAATTATTTAACATATATATATTTAAAATATAATTTTTAATTATAATGTTATATATATTTATTTTTTTAGTTGGCTGGTAGAGAGTTGAGAAAAGGAAGAGATCACTTAATGTGGGTTTTATTACAATTCATTTCTGGAAGTATTCAACGAAATCCAGTAAGTAAAAAAAAATACACTAGACATTTGTTAATACATAATAAACATTTTTGAATGTTTTCAGCTTTCCAATTTTTTACCTGTATTGAAATTGTACGATCTCTTGTATCCAGAGAAAGAACCTTTACCTCTTCCCGATTGTACTCAAGCACTTTGTACTCATCAAATGGCTATTATTTGTATATGGATGCATTTACTTAAAAAGGCTCAGATTGAACATTCTAATATTCATAGACCTATACCGCATACATTGAAAGTTCATCACGAGTAAGGAAATAATTAAAAAGTATATTAAATCAAAAGTTTATGTATATTGTATTTTGACTTTGATATATATTTCAGGTTTCTGCAGCATTTAGTTATGCCAAATACATCTCTTTGTATGGGTTTAGATTATCGTATTGCTTTATTGTGCAATGCTTATTCGACAAACCAAGAATACTTTAGTAGACCAATGGCAGCACTAGTTGATACTATATTAGGGAACCAAAAGGTGAATATATATTTCTATCTATTTGAGTATTACATATTTTGTAATTATTTGTTTTCAATTAAATAGGGTCAACAGCAACAACCTTTACAAACATTACAAAATAATGCTGCTTTGGCAAGTGGTCCAACTACACCACTTTCTATGTCAATATTAGATTCATTGACTGTGCATTCTAAGATGAGTTTAATTCATAGTATCGTTACTCATGTTATCAAATTAGCACAATCAAAAAGCAACATGGCCTTGGCACCGGCTCTTGTTGAAACTTACAGTAGATTATTGGTTTATACAGAAATAGAAAGTCTTGGTATAAAGGGTTTTATAAGTAAGTGTGTATTAAACATTTATAATATCATGAATATATTTTTATGATTTTATGATTTACTTTACATGTATTTTTTTTTTTTGTAGGTCAATTATTACCGACAGTATTTAAGTCTCATGCATGGGGAACATTATATACGTTGTTGGAAATGTTCAGTTATAGAATGCATCACATACAACCACATTATAGAGTTCAACTTTTATCGCATCTTCATAGTCTTGCTGCTGTTCCACAAACCAATCAAACACAACTTCATCTTTGGTATTATACATAAATTTATGTATTTTTATATTTCTTTTTAGATACCTCAAATAATTTGTTTATTTATCTTTTTAGTGTTGAAAGTACAGCTCTTCGTTTAATTACTGGATTAGGTTCGGCAGAAGTACAACCACAATTTACTAGATTTTTATCAGAACCTAAAACACTTGTATCTGCAGAATCAGAAGAACTTAACAGGGCGTTAGTTCTTACTCTAGCAAGATCTATGCACGTGACTGGTAAATTGTCACAAAATAATATAATATTTAATAAATATAAATAAGAAATGATTTATTTATTATATTGATATATTTTATCAATTAGGTACTGGAGCAGAAAATCTTAGTGGTACATGGTGTAAAGAATTATTAAACACCATTATGCAGAATACACCGCATTCATGGGCCGTACATACCTTACAATGTTTTCCTCCAGTATTAAATGAATTCTTTCAACAAAATAGTGTTGCAAAAGAAAATAAACAACAAATAAAAGTAATTATTATTATTATTATAAGAAAATTAATAATACGTGTACGCGCGAAAATATACTATTACTATTTATATATTTTTAGAAAGCTGTAGAAGAAGAATATAGAAATTGGGCATCCATGAATAATGAAAATGATATAATAGCTCATTTTTCTGTACCTGGTACACCTCCATTATTTTTATGCCTTTTGTGGAAAATGATACTTGAGACTGATCGTATTAGTCCAATCGCATATAAGTATGTTACAATATTTATTATTTTTATTTATTACTTTATTGATTATTAATGTAAAAATAATATTTTTTTTTCTCAAGGATATTAGAAAGGATAGGAGCCAGAGCATTATCAGCTCATCTTAGAAAGTTTTGTGATTATTTAGTATATGAATTTGCGAATAGTGTTGGTGGACAGCATGTTAATAAATGTGTGGATACAATCAACGATATGATATGGAAATACAATATAGTAACAATTGATAGATTAGTTCTTTGTTTAGTAAGTATAAATATAAAAAATAAAAAATAAAACATTAGGGATTAATATTTGTTATCTTTTAGGCATTACGAACTCAAGAAGGAAGTGAAGCACAAGTATGCTTCTTTATTATTCAATTATTATTACTTAAAGCTGCTGAATTTAGAAATAGAGTTCAAGAATTTGTGAAAGAAAATTCACCTGAACATTGGAAACAATCTAATTGGCATGAAAAACATCTCGCATTTCATAGAAAATTTCCAGAAAAATTTGCTCCAGAAGGTATCATGGAACAAGCTAGTGGTGGTCCCAGTCAATATCAAAGTTTACCTGTATATTTTGGAAATGTGTGTTTAAGATTTTTACCTGTGTTTGATATAGTTGTACATAGGTATTTGGAGATACCACCTGTTACAAAAAGTCTGGAAATATTATTAGATCATTTAGGTTGTTTATATAAATTTCATGGTTCGTATATTTATTAATTTATAAATTTATATATATTTAATTTCTTAGAGTAAAGCTCATGTCAATTATTATTTTTATAGATCGACCTGTAACATATCTTTATAATACATTACATTATTATGAACGCAAATTAAGAGATCGACCATCTTTAAAAAGACGTTTAGTATCTGCTCTTCTTGGATCCTTAAGAGAAATTAGGGCACCAGGATGGGCACTTTCTGAAGCTTATCAAATTTATATGGCACGACCTCCTGATGATGCTATTACTTGGGTACCTGAATTGGATTATTATATTCGACTTGTACAAAGAATTGTAGAAAGTAAGTAATGCATTGATATGAAGTTACAAACATTTAATGATATCAGTTTCAATTTTTAATAATATTTTTTTTTATAGCAATGTCAGGTACAGCACATTTCCCAGCTACTGATTGGAGGTTTAATGAGTTTCCTAATCCAGCAGCACATGCATTGTACGTTACATGTGTTGAATTAATGGCTGTTCCTGTAGCTCCAAATTTAGTTGCTAATTCATTACTCGATGTTGTTGCTAAAGGGTACAGTACAACTTTTATTAATTCTTTTTTAATGATCTCATACATCACACATTTCGTATTTATTATTTTTTAATTTATTATAGGTATACTGTAGTACCATCCAATGAAATACACTTATGGATAAATTGCGTTGGATTGCTTTTAGCTGCTTTACCAGAGTGCTATTGGTCGACGTTACATGATAGACTTGTGGAAGTTATTAGTAGTCCAGGCTTAGCAAATTGGCAGTATAATAATTTAACACCATTTCAGATGTTTAATTTCAATATTACGCATAATAGTTTACTTGAAAATAAGTACAGTTATATGCTCGCATTGGCACATTCAATTTGGCATCATGCTGGAGCAGGCCAAATAACTACGATGCCTCAGTAAATAAACTAATTATAATCAAATGATATAAAAAGAACTTTGATTTAACATTAATGACATTTTTCTTATTTATCAGATTTATTAAAGAAAAACTTCAACCTGTGGTACAAAGTGAGGAACAATTGATATATGCTTGTCATTTAATTGGACCAACTTTGGCAAGATTTAATGCTGAGAGACCACGCTGTGTAGTAGATCTAGCAGTTAATTTATATGAAATGCTGGAACAAGTGGATCGTGCTCAAACACATTTAAAATATATGGATCCAGTTTGTGACTTGTTGTATCCTTTTAAAAATTACTATTATATGATTATCTTTTTCACAGATTATTACATTAGCTGGATTATCCTTAATGCTGAATATAACAGATATCACATAAAATATATGTTCGTTGGAGACATGATGAAAAATGAAGTAGAATGTATCATTCGTAGATTAAGACCTCCTTTACAAATGAGATTGAGATTTATCACTCATTTAAATATAGAAGAAATTCACTCTACATAGGTATAATTCTATAAATATATTTTATACTAAATATTGAGTATATTTAAAATACTTGTCATACTTTTGGATATTTTTATCTTTATTACGTATGTATATATTGCAAATATTTGTAATATATACAATAAACTTCATAAAAAAACTAGAATATCACTGAAACAAGTGATCAATGAAATAAAAAAAACAATTACAAGATGATTTTATGCTTAGCAATCATTTGAAATATTTTCATTTACCGCCAAATTTCAATCAGATGCGCATTGGGATTTGCGCATGATCGATATATCTCGATCATTGAATCTATTATTTGAGTTTACTATTAGTTAGATTTATGGTGGAAAAAGTGTATGTTTATAAAATTATAAATTTCAATTAAATTTTGAAAGTATACGTGTATAAATTCATGGTGTAAGGATTAATTTTATCCATAGTGTTTGAAATTAGTAGAAAATTGAAGACAAAAATATAGAAATAATTTATTTGTTAATTTCTATTGTGAGTAAGTAACAAAAGAATTTTAGTTATGTTTGCATTATTTTTTTTTTTTTTTTTAAATATAACAATATAAAGATATATATATATATATATATTTAATATTAGTTTATAAAGTACACTTGTTTGTTAATTTAACAATTTTCACTTTTTATCACAAAACTCTATTCTATTCGCTTAATACACGTAAAAGTACATTCTACATTTATACAGGTTTAATGAATTTAAAAAAAATCTCTACAATGTCTAAGGAATGCTTAATTATTAATTATTGCGTGTTTGTGTGTGTCTATTTTTTTTTCCTTTCTAATATTAAAAAAATAATGCAATATATTTCAATATAAATGTAACACGTCGTGTTACATTTATAATATAATTTTATTGTCAAAGTCTAAGAAGTCTAAGCTCTCATTTAAAAACATTTCAAATGGCAGTAAATTATTACTGTATGACACCCTGTAATTTACAAACATCTAAACATCTCTATATTATTAGTTAACATTTTATAAGTCCATTAAATTTACAGCAGATGGTCGTAGATTCGTTTGGAATTCTCCAAAAATCATAGCAGCCATCCATTTATATTGTTCGTCTTTAGACGTACCTGCTAAAATATTACCGAAAAAAGGATTTTCCTTGCATCTACAAATAATATTTGAATAAATTATCAATTCATTTAACTTACGATTATAATGAACAAATATTTATATTTAATAATAATTACTATACCTTGTTGGTTTTTTATTTCTTAGTATAAATGTGATGGTCCAGCTATAAAAAAAAAAAAAAACATAATAAAAAAAAGAAGAAAATTAATACGATAAAATAATTCAAATGTCATTGACATTAATGAAAAAAATTTACCCCATTTGTGGATTACGTTTGGATTCATGGCCTAAATACCAAATAACATCTTCAATTTTCCATTCGTGTAATTTAGTCGAACAAACTTTATCTTTGTAACAATACAACTTTGCTTGACTAAATTCAAATAGATAAGTTTTAAAATTTTTTGACTTAACATCTGCAAATTTCAGTTCACCTGATATTGTCATGGGTGGCTTGACCTAGAATAAACAAAAGAATATTTTAAAAAGCAAGCTAATTGCAAGTGGTAATGGTTACATCCTGTTTTGTCATGTAAAATCACTTTTTTTTTTTTTTTTAGTATTATTCTGACTCATGCTAATTGATCTATATACATTGTATAAATGATGTGTGGGAAAGAAACACGTATACCAACAACTTTAAATTCTTGTTTGCATATGTGTTTCTATTAATAGAAATATTACCAAAGGAACAATATCCTTGTATAGGCTATCCTTCTTTAAAATTAAGATATTATCTTTCCTATCATCTGAATCCCAATAGCCCCATCTCGCAACTGTTTCTAAAACCCGTTCATTATGATGCAATGGTCTTTTCAATGCACCAGAAAGTGCATATTCTTCTAAACATAATTCATGAGCTGGTAGATTAGCTTTCTCTGATAATTCTCGACAGATATCGAAAGCTGTCTTTTGTGCACCAATCTACAAAAAAAGAAAAAAAAAAAGAAGAGAATTATTTCGAGAGTATATAATAATTATGATATTAATAATAAAAAAAATGTATTTACGGTAACGTTAACGCATTCTCCTTCTCTGGAAATGAGGTATATCCAAATTTTTAAATCGCCAGACGGTGCACCACGAAGTCCATTGTTTGAAACGTGATGTTTCTCAAGTACTTCTAAGATTTTAGCTTCCTTGGCTAAATCGGCATGCGACAATTGATATAACTTTGGAAATAAATGTATCAAATCGCTGATTACTTTAGTCTCTTCTCTGTTCCAATCTTCAGCACTATTTTCTCCGGCGTGCATTAAAGTAGGTCCCCAAATGGCAGAGAGATTCTCAACAGTCATTAAGTTTCGAGAACTTTGTTGGCTAAGATAATGAAGATGAGCTAGAATTCGACGTATCGTTGCTGAAGTTATTGAATCTAACTTTGTTAATAAATTTCTATAGGCTTTTATCCTTTCATCTTCGTTGGTTAGCTCTGAAAAAGGGAAGTTAAACTCAGGTATAAAATTCCAGACATTTTTTGATGCATTTATATCAAAAGTACAATGGATATCTTTTACCTGAGCTTTGACAAAGGGAATCGTGTATACTAGCAGGAAATAAGGATTCAGGTAAATCTCGAAGGAATCTTCTAAGGACCGTAGCAACATCGTGTTCACTGTAAGATCCACGTGTAATTTGTATAGCCCAGGCATCTCTTCTAAAAGCTTCCAATAATCTGATCACAGCACTGCTAGATCCACTGCGACGATAAATTCCTTCAGTCATTATACCTGTTATTATAAAAATTCATTAAACTTTAATCACAATAATAATTTATTTGAAATTCATGGGGGGAAAAAAAAGAATGATTAACCATGCGTGGAAATAAAGTTGATGCATTTGTCAAGAATAACAGGAACATTGTCTTGTGTAATTTGTTGTTGATGTAATGCTGGACCACAGTCAGTAGCAGCTTGATACAAAGCATGTCTCCATGCTGGAGCTTCTTTTGTACCAAATGTTGCTATATGTAAAGCACCGGAACCACCAGTGTCAACAACCACAACAGGAATACACCCATTATCTCGATTCGGTCCTTCTTGTTCCCGCAGCACTAAACCAAATATTTAATATACATCAATCATTTATGTAAAAGGGAATAATGTGTCATAACAGGAAACGAGATGGATTGTAACATCCTATGAATAATAGGTTCACGAGACAGTGGCTTATAATAAAGTCCAAATAATTTCTATATTATATATATCTATTATTACTTTTATATTATTTTATAATTACCAATACAACGTGCTTTCCGTAAATCTAAATATTCCAAAACTACAGGCTCCAAAGATTTCGTATAAACCAACGTCCTTTTTTGAAGAAGAACCCAAGCAGGAAACCATGTACCAGTTATTCCTTCCTACAATTAAAAATATATCTTTAAAAAAGAAATGTCTTTCTCATAAATAATAATTGCATACCTTTTATTTTAGATTCCATGGTATGCTAAGAAAACGATAATATTATTATCGTATTGATAAATAATGTTGTTTTAACATTATCCTTAAATGTTTTCATACCTTTAAGTAAACCGAACCGGCTCTAGTAAGATCGGCTGTGTATTTAATAGGAAAAACCGTTGTCATTGCTTCTAAGATTTTTTGAGCCCAAATTCTTCTCTCTGATATACCCTTTGCATAGAATATATATATATGGGGTCTAGTCTCACAACTGATAGCTATACAATGTACTGTTTCACCATCGACTATTCTGTCATTATGGATATATATATATATTAATTTTTATATAATGAATTTTTAGAAAACATATAATGAAATAATAAAAGATAAAAAATAACTTACTTAACATCTTGCAAAAGATGAATACTATAAACAGTTTCAAGATGAATGGTTTCTTTCAGAGTAGACATACTTTTGTCAGTGTAAAAAAATAACTTTTGATCTGTTAAAATAGCAGCTCTTTGAACTAAATCCTTCGCTCTTTCTATACCAACTCCAGTTTTATAAACAATCCCTCTATGAGTGGAAGCACATTGAGAAAGTTTACACTTAGGTCTATCCATTTTTAATTGTCTTGAACTATGATCACTAGAACTGTTGTCTTGATCACGATTTCTAGATAACAATTTACTACTATTTCTAACAAAACTCATCACGTTAGGTTTGATCACATTACTCGTTGAATCTTGACTCAATTTTTTCAATTTTTGAATGACACTGATTTTCTTCGTATCATCGGTGCTTGTTTTAACCATTGGAAAAGAATTAGATGTTGTTTCATCAACGAGTTTTCCTGTAGCCATCGTAGATTCTGTTGTTTTAGATTGAGCACTTGTTGTTGAAGTATCAGTAAGAATTTTGGTCGATGATTTTCTAGGTGGTACAGCTGGTTGTTTTCTTCTTGTCATTTGAGCAAGCTTTGGTAACAATGCTGGATTTTTACCTGTTGTTGATAAATAAATATATAATTGAATAAAATATTGAAATAAGAAAGATTAACAATAATATTTACCTGTTTCAACCTCGTCGTATTCATTTTTTGGAAGAGAATCAAATCTCTTAGGTGGTTCTGGAGGTGTCATAGAGTCTTGCAATTTTTTCTCTTCTAATTCCGTTGGTTCCTCGTCTTCGTTATCTTCGTGCAAATCTAATGTACTTCCAGCATTACTCGATGAATCATTATTTGCTAAAAGTGCTTCTAACAACATCAAATCGTTGTTCTCAAAATTACTGTAAAGGTTTTCTTCAGATGCCTTGTTAGCAAATGGATCAAATTCGAAGAGTAAAGATTTATTACTACTTTGTTGTCTTACATCTGAGAACATTGATTCCAATACTTGATCATCTTTACTCTTTGGTGATATGCAATTTTCATAAATAGAATTTTGTAATGAAATGAGACTGGTGTTAGATGATTTAAATGTTCTTCTATCAATGTTTATTGCCTGTTCCAAAGTTTCTTCTTCAGCACTTGATATCCTATCCAATTCATTAACAGTTTCAGATTTAATAGCAGGTGGTGTGGTATCATAAAATGTCCAAGAATCTGATCTCGATAATTTCCTTTCGATGTCTGATTTATCACTCGTAAGACTAACATTTACATCGGACAAATTTAAACTTTGATCCGAATCACTGGCCTAATATTCAAACAAATAAATCATTGAAATAACAACATTACAACTTTACTATTTGACTTATTGGAATAGCTGGTTTATTATCCAGGAAACTCGATAAGAACTTAAATCTCTTGAGATAAAACTAGATACGGGGGATTATACGAAAATAGATAGAAAGAAATAGAAAACTATATGTACCTGTCGTTGAAGAAAATTGAAGCTGTTGAAATTAGTAGACTCGGGAAAATCTCGTTCAACTTTTTCCGAGATTGTTGAACTGAGAGTATCATAACGACCACTGCTGCTAGTCGATGTAAATGAATTTAATTCGTCGTAGATAGATTCAACAGGAAGCGGGGGTGGCGGATATACCGGTGGTGGTGGACTATGTCGTAGTCCGGAAAGATCTTCCTCATTTTTGATACTACGCAGATTACCACTAAATGGACTATGAAAGGTAATACTGCTAAAAATATCATCGGTAGGCATTGAAACGCATCTGTCATCTTCTACAGGATCAGCTATCTTTTTCGAATTGACATTATTGTCATTTAACAAATCATCCTGATTAAGGGATGTCAATCTACGCGTTAACAGATTTTTCACCGATTTCTCAAGACGTATACTAGCATTCTTGGTACTAGAAATAACAGCACGTCCCTTTGACGACATCTTCTCTGAGATTTCATCTTTCAATTGACGAGAACTCGTACTCAATTGACGAAAAAATTCACTCGAATTTCGTGTTTCCGTACTTGTCGTTGATTTATTCTCATCACCACTTTTTTCCGATTGACTCGATTCGCTAGGACTTTTGCTACGAGTTGGCGTTGGTGGCGATGGTAATGGTAAAACAGGTGGTCCTATTTTTCTAGGTGCTGGTACAGGACGTTCAGTTATTATTGACCTTGGTTTTGGTATCGGTTTAGTCTCCATTTCTCTTGAGATATTTTAACATTCATTCGTATAACAAAGAAAATCAATTCATCATAGTATTGATTTTGGTATTGGATTTTTTTTTGTTTTTTGTTTTTTTTTCTAATAAAAATCCTTTTAATAGAGAGAATTATGAGCTTAATTTATGAGAAAGAGATCGTCTCTCGATATGATCGTAATGACAAGAAGATAGAAAGTAATAAATTGGAGTAACTGTTGTTCTGTTCTGTGGTACGTGAAACGTGAGTCACTCTTCTGCAATACGATAGGCAACATTTCCGGTTTAAAACATGCTTATCGAATCCGAGGATAGAACACTGTATATTTATATATTCTCTTCCTCAGTTTTATGTTGTATCTTTCGACTATCTGTCGACGTTTCATTGCGTTTCAAAGAAAAATAATGTTATAATAATAATGAAGATTTTTCCTTGTTAATCGTGGTTAATTGTGATTCATATTTCCAAAGGACTTTGTCAAATAAATTCTGTAATTAAGACAAAAGAAACAACAAATCTATAATAATATTCTATTTGAGATATACTTTGTATTAAAATTTATTTATAATTTCAAATTAATAATAAAAAATGATTGCATTTCCAGTAACTCTCGAGTGTTATCTGGGTACAGCTGTTGATACACGTTCGACAAATATTTACCGAAACGTCGATCATTGATCCATACTCGAATACTCGATGCAACTTGAAATGCATTAAAACGCATTTCGAAGGACACACGTTCAAAACGAATAACATTTATTCATACTACTACGTTCCTCGAATGAATGTAAAGAAACAATATGGCGATCTATGATCAAACAGCCAAATTATTTATATATATTTAGATACAATCAATCTTGTCCTTGTAAATGTAACTATAAAAAGAATATCTAAYAAAATAAAATAATCACTTACACACATCATCTAATCAATAACAAATATTAAATCTAATAATTTATGCTATGCTAATAAAATTCTAAATAAAAGATTAAACGTCATAGATGATGAGTGTCCTTTTAATCATTGAAATTATACTATAACTGTTACTGATTCACACACAACTGATGAGAGAACAAAGAAACTCGAATGATAGATAATAAAATAGCTGAAGGAAATGATATTCCTCGACACTAATGTAAAATTGATTAAAACGTTTTTGTTCGACAAATGTAACGTGGCAGCAAAAACATGGACATTAACAAAAAAAAAAAAAAAAAAGAAAAAGGATTCAAAAAGACTAAAAATGTGTCCAGTCAGAAGAGGCATAGTGAAAGTTAAGCATTATTCTTTGAGTCAGGTATATATCGTCATCATGGGTCAGAGACCCATTCACACATACACATAAACACACACACACACACACCTAATGGATGCTTGCGTTGGCTCTGTCACAATTCCTTTTCCCCTCTTTTCCCCTTGACCGTTGTCTTCTTTTCACCAATCCTTCTTTCTCACTTTACTCCTTGCATTGAAAAATGGACAGAGAGAGATAGAGAGAGATAAACGGTGTCAAATAGTTCAATTTGATATCAAGAGACATATACTCGGTGTTCTGATCTATATGACGTGTACATGATCAAAAGATAGTATTCCCTTTTTTTGTTAGATATATTCGATGTAACTAATTAAAAAAGTAAAAAACTACAACATTCCTTATCACACTTCAGTTCCCTTAGTTACACGCGATAAAAGAGTTAACGTTGCTTCGAATGAAAGAATGCATATTAAAAAAAAAAAAAAGAAAAAAAGTACTTGGATAACAACAACAATAACATTAATTGTAGAAATAAGTAGCACAACAGGTTCGACCAAGATCGAATGCAATACTGAAAGTCTATCCCGGGCTCGGAGACGCACGAAGCCCATTATATTTCTCCCTCCATCTCTTTCTCTTTCTCTCTCTCTCTCTCTCTCTCTCTCTGCTCTTCTAACATCCATCTCTCACACCTTCCTTCTCTTTCTATTTTGTCGGTCTCGTATACGATGATCCTTTTCTAATCTGTCTCTCCCTACCACCTCAAACGTCGTCCTCAGCACAGTATTTTCTCGGTGTCTGAACGATTCTGAACTATACTTTACTAAACTACACTATATGTCTCTCTCGTCACACGTTATTTTTATTTAGTTTTATTCTATCAGAGATTAAAATGAACCTTTTTTTTTTTTTTTTTTTTTTTTTGAATTATTTCGAAGCTTGGTTTTCTTTGAAGGTTTCACTACTACCGTATGTGTGTGATCTGCACACATCTGGTTTTTTGTTGTTGATATATTAATTGTTTATGTTTTTTTTTAATTTTCTTCATATGAATTGTTAATAGTTTTACCTATTATGTAATTGTTAAAAAGAAACTATATATCTATTTAGATATGATGAGCATATATATATATGTGAGATGATGAGCATCATGAATACGAATGATTCATTCAATTGCTGACTAAACTGTTGCATGCCGATAATTATTATCGGTGTAAGTAATGTGATAATATTACATATGATACTAGATATAATTTTTATCATTTATATCTTTTAAAGAGAGAGAACACACATCAAAACAAAAAAAAATTCATACACATATAATATGTTCGTGTTATCTTTTTAAACAGAGTTACTACGCTTTGAGTGAAGTTAATTAACGATGTTATGTATTTTGTAATAGTTCTGTCTGTTTGTCAATTTTTTCAAACATTCATTTATAATAGGTGATATATTGAATAAATAATAACTCGTTATAATAAGTATTTTAATGTAATTTTTATTAAGATTTATGTGGTACCATAGTCAAATAATGACTTTTGTTATATAAACAGGGTAACACAACTTTCCCAAAGAAGTCTTTTCTATGTAGATTAATGCGTTGATTTATTTGAAATTATATTGAAATCATTCATTGAAATTATAATCGTATTTATTCTAATCGATATATATAGATATTAACAAAAACAAATGGTTTTTTTTTTGGGTTGCATTCCACATTAGAATTCAACTTCAATGGAAATTTCAACTACCCTTTTCTTTTTTTTTCTTTTTTTTTTTTTTTAGATCACAATGGTTACGATAAATTGATTTATTGATTTATTTATTTATTTATTTATTTATTTATTTATTTATTTTCACAAAATGATCAATTACTTAGTAGGGTAACTTTAATCGTGGTACAGATTCACGCATACAATTACATCAAAATTCGTATACATATACACGTACAAGTGTACAGACATATAAAACCATGTCGAGACAATTTTCAATATAGTTACGATTTAATAAAATTCTTGATTCTTATTATTTATCATTAAAAAAATGGTTTTTCTGATTAGAGGACGGTGTGCTAAGGACGAGTTGCTTTCTTTTTTTTTTCTTTCTTTCCTTCATTTCTTCTTCTTCGTTTTTTTTTTTTTTTTTAATTAACCCCTTCAGCAGCAAGTATTTTGAAAAAAACAAAACCGGCCAAAAAAATCATTTTCTTTTTTTTTTCATAAAAGCACAGTTTTAAAACATTGTTTTGAGAAAATAATTAAAAAAAAAAAAATACAATCAATATATTTATGTTAATTTTGGAATTTTTGTTCTATATGGAAAAACAAAAGGTTAGATTTTATTAATAAATAAATAAATAAATAAATAAATAATTGTTATAGCTTGTAAATGATCATTTAATATCAATAAAACTTAAGATTCTTTTTGTAAAAAATCATAAAAATATAAAATAATACGACGCCCCTCCGAGTTAACTCGAGCGTACGGAAATTGGGCCGATTTAGGGGCTGCTTAAGGGGTTAATTAATTAATGAATGAATTAATTAATTAATTTATTCACTAATTGAAATTTGACGACCATTTGGCAAATTCTGTACACTGCACACACAATAAGTTTAATAACAGCCGTATAATGATCTTCATCTAAAAATCCTGTGTGTTTTTTTTATTTTTATTTTTATTTTTATTTTTTTTTTTTATCATTATTTTTTAGATATTTACTTTTTCATTAGACAAGTCAGATATTTGATAAACCTAAAAAGTCTAATTTTACAATATTACAGAGTCTCTCGCAACATTTGATAAAAAAATACTATAATAATAATAATAATAGATTATTATTATTCTTCTTCTTCTTCTTCTTTTTTTTTCAGCATTTCTTTTTCTTTTTCTTTTTCTTCGTATACTTTTTTATTTTTCTCTCTCTAGATCATTTACGACCACTAATTTGAACGCATTATAGATTTTTATACACCCGATTCTGTACCACAACTTCAGTCATATTTTTTTTTTTTTTTTTTTTAATCGGAAAGAGAGGAACGAGTGAGCTTTAAATATATGTTATAAGTATAACTGGAACACAGAGAGACGATTGTTTAAACAACTCGTAATGTGTGTGTGTGTGTGCGTGATTCTTGACCGATGATCATGACAAATCATTATTTAACTTATTTTTTTTTTATTTTTTTTTCAATTTAATTATTTTACTTTGAACAAATATGTAAATTATTCTTAGAGACAAAAAGATTGACGAAAAAAAAAACAATGATCGAATAAAATTTGAATTCTTCACACACAACAAATTTTATTTGTAAATAATTCAATTCGAAATGTTTTTCTTTTTTTTTTTTTTTTTTTGTAAAATAAATTTTACAAAAAAATTTCATTTCACCGGACAAGAACGACAGTTTTATTTTATAATTGCGTTGTTAGTTTTATTTTTTTTTATTTTATTATTTTTTTTATTTTTTTATTTTTTTCAATTTGTCAATTGTCTATAACTGGAATATTATAATTGAGAAAGAGAGAGAGAGAGAGAAAGAGAAGTAGAGAGAGAGAGAGAGAGAGAGAGAGAGAGAAAGAATGAAAGATAGAAAGAGATTTTCGAAGAAAATATTTGTAGGCACACCCACATACACACATATACATATATTAATACATTCGAAGAGCGCATAAGTCCTTCAATATCAGGTTTTTTTTTTCTTTTTCTTTTTCTTTTTCCTTTTTTTTCTTTTTTCATTCTTTTTGGCAAGAGCAAACCGCAATTTTTAAAATTGGATTTACCATGGACCGTCCCCAACACGAGCCTTAATAAATGACCAAAATTTCATTTATAATTATCTAAATATATATATGTATATATAACTATATGCGACTATATATTAAAAAAAAAAAAAA